AAAAATGTAAGCGCAGATTTAGAAACGAATCGTGATATGAATTCGAGATTTGAACAGGATAGAATAAATTATCTTTTTTACATCAAGGTTACAATGTGACATGATAATAATGAAGCTAAAAGATAACAAATACAAGCCAAGCTAGTTTTGATGCCACACACATAAGTCAGGATTTTCGCCTTTGTTTGGCCCGTAAATGCAGGCAATCTTAAATTTTTAAATTTAAAAATCAACTAAATGACGAGATTTTAAAAATTAAAAGGGAAATCTTGTTTTTGCAACTTGGTCATAATGGTAGGAAGATTTAGAGGAACGCACCTAGTCCGGAGTCCATTGTATGCATGATCATTTCCGAAGTCAGGCCGTGGACGTAGTACATTCCCAGGACTAAGTGCACTCCTCTAAGTCTTCCTACCAACATGACCAAGTTGCTAAAACAAGGTCAAACAACCTCTATGCAACGAAAGGAGACTGCGACCACATAAAAGGCCACACCAACTTGGTCTTCATACCTTCGATTAAAAGCGAAATCATTCATTGTTATGTTGTGATGTAAGTAGGTATCAAATTTCACGAAATCCAAATGGTTGCGGCTTTAATGCTAAGAAGCCCATAAACAGTGAAATAAAGAGGACGCATGAGTAAGGGTGAAGTAATCTCTCTGTATCTTTTTTTCCATAAATGCACCATCATCCACAACAAATGACGCCCCTGACCTCGCTTGAGTCGTATCAGTCCTTCAAGCAGGAGTTGAATCAGAATCAGGCTACTTCGAAAGGATCAAGAATTCTTGTGGGTATACTTGCTCGAACTAAGACAAGTTAATTCATTTCCATTCGTGCGTTAGGTGAAACTTAGTGGAATACTGCAGATAAAAATAATAATCCTCATAGGTTTTTAGGCATGAAAGGCGAGATGCCCAAGAAAGTAAGATTTGACGTTATACTATAAGCTGCATTGGAGCTGTGATATAGACTAGACTTTGATAACGCCCCAAGTGGACATGATCACGAGGATCCAGTATCATTCGACCAAAGGTAAGGGTTTCATTCAGAACAATAAATGATACACAAAACGCTCTTGTATTTGCTATTAGATTAAACTTTACCATCGGTGAGAATTTGATAGAACTCAAAAATAAAACTATCGCCTCAGAAAGTTAAGCTAATGACGCTCAGATAGATGATTCAATAAAGAATATACATATCGAAGAGATATAAGGTGTATTCGCCCCACTTGTTCAAGGTGATAAGGGGGCAGTAGTTTAATTGTCCCACAATTATATGAGTATACCTTACGCTTTCATTGAATTTCGCATGGCGTTAATTTACCAGAAAGCAATCTCATCCAGGATAAACTGTCGTTTCTCTTGAAAGCATAGTTATAAACGAAAAATAACAAGAGAACACTTAATTGGTAAGAATTAATAATAAGAGTTAGCCTAAAAAAGTAAAGATCTGATCTAAGAAACAAGGCTCGTAATGAAATTTTAATAATAACAAGGCATTTTAAAATGATTATGTAAATCAACAAATGTATACTAAAATTTAATTTATATTATGTCAGGATAATGAATGTATATTCAATAAAGAAGATAAAAGAATAAGACAACTACGAAATCCCGGAAAATTTAGTTATTTACTTAATGGAACGCAAGCCTAGGACTACCTGAGGACGTTTAAAAATATCGTACTTGATAAAATCTTATAAAAATTCGTCTGATTTCAAACTGACCTGAATCACCAAAAACATCTCAACAAAGTTGCCCATGAAACCAATCTCTACAGTGCTGGAGTGCTGGCCACTAAAGTTCATGTGATCACAACTTGCCTGGTTGCGACCACGGTTAGACTTAGGAGAAGAATAGCGGTCTCTAACATCGGGGGCCACTGAGGAGAATGAGTGGAGGGAGCTAAAACGGCGCCACCAGGAGAAGAGGGCGAGAAAGCAAGCCAAACTGGCTGTTGGCAGAAGACCAGTGCGACACAGCGAGAAGTAATCATCAAGCTGGTAAATAATGGAAATATATAAGAGTCGATGATGTCTTCAATAGCATTAATTCTTAAAATAAAAAAAACGATAGTTAGAATGGCAAATATGTATGTTACATTAACACTAAATGGCTTAGCAAACGACTTTCGCCAAAACATTATTTGCATGTAGGATAAAAAATTATATTGTTAGGGAGACCTTCGTTTCGTATGAAAGTGCATGAAGAAGAGATTCGTTGGTCGATTTCACCAGATGAGGACAAGTGAATCTCGTACTGCGGCCGTTTGGATTTTATACGATATTTATTTTGACCCAGTCCATGGGACTTCCTCCCTCGTTTCGGGTGACAAAGTGCTGAGCTTCCGTCCATCATATGAGGTACATCATCAGAGCTGAGTGTCATTCTTGTAAAAGGCTTACGTTAACAG